GTGTCAGAGGCAGTGCGGTTGGCACAGGACAGAGCAGGGTTTAGGGCTGTTGTGCATAGGGTCGCTATGAGTCGAAAACGACTCGACGACACATAACAACAATAACAACAGATGATTTACGGGAGGAGAATGTACATTTCTTCCCATGTCCTGTCTGGTGGATTCAAAGCGCTGAGCTTTTGTCTTAACAGTCCATCATATTGGGCCCCAAGCAGCTAGAAGTTCAGTGTCCCTATTTAATAAGTTTCCTTTCTGTATTTACTCCCTGATGAACTGTATACATTTACAGCGTATGTCCGTGTCTGTGCAGATTCTTCCTTGGCTCGTGCGGGCAGAGTTTAGAAGAATTTTATCATCCGTCAGAATCCTGGTTTCAGAGGTGAAGATGAAGATGATGTGAAGGCATCACAAGGCTTTTCTTTGAACACTGACGAGCTTGTAATAACGATTATTAAGGCGGAAATGGAGCCTGTGAGTGGGGCAGATGTTTAAACTCTTGAGTAGTCGTGGAAAGTGGTGTTTCACTTCTTAGTTGCTGTCAAGTCCATTTTTTATTATTGTTAATTTCAATGAAAATTTAGAGACTTTGGATTTCCATTCACTCATTGTTGCACTTTCCTCCCCTCCCAACCCTCCCCCCCAGTACACTACCCTCTTTGAAAAGTAAAACAAAAATTCTTTCATTGTTTTACAATCCCTCCCCCCAGTTCCACTCCACTATGCAGCCTTTGTTCTGGACTCCTGTCATGACAAAAATACCTAATCACATATCTCTTTTAACAGTTTTCTCCCTCATCGGTTTCAATGCTGTATACATTATTGAACCCATCTTTCTCAGTCTCCCCCCAACCTCGATGTCAGTCCAGTTTTACAACAGTGGCACCATGCAGTATTTGTCCCTTTGTGACTGAGATATTTCACTCAGCATGTCCTCCAGAGTCACCCATTTTGAATAATATTGCATGAGTTCCTTGTTTTTCAATGCAGCGTAGTATTCCATTGTGTGAGTATACCACAGCTTCTCTATCCATTTGTTTGTTGATGGGCACTTAGGTTGTTTCCAACTCCTTGCTATTGCAAACAAAGCCATGATAAACATGGGTGGGCATGTCAAGTCCATTTTTGACTCAAGGTGACCTCTGAATGACAAGTTCAAGGTGAGCCAGGCAGAGCCAGGCCTGGTTGTTGAGAATCCTAAAAATCTCTGCCATGCTGAAACCTGTAGTTGCCGTTATTGTGTCTGACCATCTCATTGATGGCCTTCCTCTCTTTCACGGATCCTCTGCATCTCCAAGCATGAAAACTTTTGCCAAAGACTAGCACCCTCTGACTGGATACTCAGAGCATGTTACGCCAAGTTTCACTTCTTGCCTCTAAGGAAGACTGAAAGTAATCAAGTGTGTGTTAGTGTTAAGAACATACTGTTAGACTATCAAATGAGGCTAAGAAAGCTGAGGTTTAGAATTTTAGAAGTAAGGAAGCACATGTCAGATAGACAAGGTGAAGAGAAGAATTCTGGGACATCCCCATTCTGTGCCATGGCAGGCTCAGAGACCCAGTGCTGACCAAAAGATGTCTTATAAGCCCAGAGAATTAAGATGTTAATAGAAAAATACCGAATGAAGCCTAGCTGGCCAATTTGCTAATCTTGACATGAAACAGCTAAAATTTGATCGCTGGAAAATATCTTGAGGACCGCAGTGTGTTTTTCTGGGGAATAGACACCCCAAAGATCACTTGGTATACTTCCCAAAATGTTTGTAGCAATGAACTTTGAGAAGTTCTGATTGATGGCACTTGGTCCAAACAGACTCTGTCATCCAACACAGAATATAGTAGTTAAAGTGGACTCTTCAGCTGCAAACACCAGGGTCTTTGGGAGAGACCCTACCTCACTGTCTGATATCTCTCCACTCTCCACAGCCGCCTTGCTGAATTTCACAATGAACATTCTCCTGTGGTGAGTGTTAGCCATTATTCCATAGTAGCTAAGAACAATTAGTTGCAATATATAATGATTTGGAAAGTAACACTTAGGCTGATTGTTAAGATTTAGATTGCCTTGAATATTTTACCTTTCGGATTGATTTTATGTGAAATTATAAAGGGGCTTCAGACCTTGAGGGCCCGCGCATTAAGTGTGTGTGATTTTCAATTATAAACCCTTTTGGCTTTATTCTCTGTTTGAGTCTTAAGCCTGTGCAATATAATTTCCCATTTTGCTCCAACAAACTTTATTCTATGTATTACTTAGAGAGAGACCAGTTGACCTCTGATGTTTCAAAAGTGTTAATGGTTACCCATGATGGACAGTGTTTGGTGGAGCTCCCCGATTCATTCATTGTTGCACTATTTTCTCTACCCTCCTCCCCAGTTCGTTCTTCTTTTTTGTTTCCCCCTTTGAAAGTCTGTTCTGATTAATCTCCTTTGTCAGTGTGTCCTTTGCCATTCCCTATCACCCTGATTCATAAGGAAAAGGGGACAGCGTATTCTCTTAGCTACTTCCTGCTGAAAAGGGATGCTGTATGTTTCAGGGTAAAAGTTGTTGTCACTGTTATGTGCCGTTGAGTCGTTTGCGACTCATAGCGACCCTATGCACAACAGCCCTAAACCCTGCTCTATCCTGCGCCAATCGCACCGCCTCTGACACACCCATCCCGATTACTCCAGTCACCAAATCAATCCATCTCATAGAGGGTCTTCCCCTCCTGCGCTGTCCCTCCACCCTCCCAAGCATGATGTCCCTCTCCAAGGAACCGTCCCTCCTGGCAACATGTCCAAAGTATGTCAGACGAAGCCCCAGAATCCTTGCCTCCAAGGAGTAGCTTGGTTTAATCCTCTCCAAGATGAGTCTGTTTGTTTTCCTGGCAGTCCATGGGACATTCAGTACTCTTCTCCAGCACCACAGCTCAAAAGCATCCACTCTCCTTCTGTCCTCCCTAGTCATTGTCCAACTCTCTGATGCATAACAAGCGATTACAAATACCATGGCCTGTATCAGGCACACCTTAGTCTCCAGAGAGACACCGTTGCTCCTGAGTACTTTAGAGAGGTCCCTAACAGCAGACTTTCCCATCGCGATACGCTTTTTGATTTCCTTACTGCTGGTGCCAAGAGTGATGACTGTGGATCCGAGCAAACTGAAGCTGTGAACACTCTCAATCTCTTCGTCATCCATCCTGACGCTGCCAATTGGTCCAGTGGTGAGAATCTTTGTCTTCTTGACATTGAGCCTCAGTCCATACTGAAGGCTGCAGTCCTTGACCCTTTGCAGCAAGTGCATAAGGTCCTCCTCAGTTTCAGCAAGCAGGGTTGTGTCATCTGCATAACACAGATTTTAAAATTGTGATTTTAGTGATTATTTATGAAAGAGTATATTTTTCATTCCACCATTCATACACATGTTGTTTTACAACATTCACTATAATGCACCCAGTGTGACCACACTGTTCCTACTTCCTCCCTGAGGAAACAACAGCTGTTAGTGTTTCTGTCCTTCCCTTTCTTACCTTCAGATCAACTGCTGCCTTTTTCATCTTATGTGGTTAAATGTCCTCAGCTACGGTTGTTCATCTTCTAAGCCTGTCTACTGGCTGCACGCAAGTTGAGCCCTGGGTTTGAATCAGTTTTGAAGACTGACTAAAGGCCAGAGAGAGCTCTGGGGGTGCGATCTGTAGGGAGCCGTGTAGCTATCACACAGGCAGGTGGCTTGAATCCACGAGCGGCTCCTTGGAAGAAACTGGCAATCTCCTCCTGTGTGATTCACCCACAGAGAACCTGCGGGAGGCTCGGCTATGAAAGGGTTTTGACTTGATAGAAATGAAGGAGTTCCTACCTATTTACTAATTTTTTTTACACTCCTCATCCTCTCTCTCCAATCCTAGGAACCATCTACAATTGCTACTATTTAAAATTGCTTCTTTCTGCATCATATTGTTGAGATACACCATAATGTCACGATTTATACTATGGTACTTGGAACATAAATAAAGAACAAATTTGATCAACGAATAAAAGAAATGAATTCTCATTAGTGATCACAACTCTTGTTAATTATTTAAAGACATTAAGAGAAACAAAACAATGATTTATTGGGGAAAGTCACACAAAATTTAACACAAGCAAAATTTGGATTTTGGATGCACTTCTTCTATAATAGTAAACTAATATAATAGTAAACGAATATTACTTCTCGTTTATCCAATTCAAAATAATATTCTTTTAAAATTTAAAAAAATAACCCAAATAATACTCTTGTTTATGAAATGGACTTTCAATTTCCCTATCCAGTTAGATTTTAGGTTCAAATTATGTGCAATTTCAAGTTACTTAATTTTTCATGAGGAAGTAGCAGTCAGAATGAGCCTTTTTAAAAATTATTTTTTGTTATTTTATTATTATTTTTTAATTATTATTATTTTTTGTGTGTACCATCAAATCAGATCTGACTGACACAGGAGACTGTCTCCTTCTGCAGCAGGGCATCTGGTGGACTTGTACCACACACCTCTGGGATAGCAGTGCAGCTTCTTTCCACTAGGCCGCCAGGGCTTCCTTGAGTCAGAATGATCCTTTAAAACAAAGCTGGGCAGGCCTGGACTCACCCTGAACGCAGTATTAGGAGGGAACAAACAATGGAGAAGAACATCTTCTTTGGTGAAGTCAGAAAAAAAAAGAGGAAGATGGAGTGAACCTAACTAGAGAAAAGAAAGACCTGTACAAAGAAAACTACAGAACATTTCTGCAAGGCCTAAATAAATGGAAAAAAATGGACCTCACTCATGGATAGGAAGACTCAATATTGTGAAAATGACCATCCTAACAAAAGCAAAATATATGTTCCATGCAATTCCAATACAGATAACACAGTCATAATTTTTTAAAAGAAATCAAAAGGGAAATTAGCAACTTTATTTGGAGAGCAAAGAGACCCAGAATAAGCAAAGCACTTCTGCAAAACAAAAATGAGGTGGGAAGGGTAGTACTCCCTGACCTCAAAATCTACCACACAGTAGCAGTGGTGACCAAAACAGCAAGGTCCTGGTACAATGACAAGCACATAGACCAATGGAACAGAATAGAGAGCCCAGAAATGGACCATCTATTTATGGTCAACTGATATTTGACAATAAAACTTATTAAATGGGAAAATGACTTCTTCAACAAATGATGCTGGCAAAATTGGATTGCTACCTGCAGAAAGCTGAAACAGGATCCACATGTCACACCAGACAGGACAATCAAGTCAAGGTGGATCAGAGACCTGGGAGTAAAGCCCTAAACCATAAGGTTCATAAGAGACAAAGTGGGACCTTAGTCTTAGACCTCAATCTTACAAGGTCCAGCTTGTGGTCTAAAGAGACAGCCAAATACAGCCAAAAATGCGCAATCTGAAGAGCATAAAATTGATGAATGGAATTGTCTAAAGATTAAATCTCTGTCCTCATCACAAACTTTTCCCAATAGAGTTAAAAGAAAGCCCTCTGATTGGGAACAAATATTTGACAACAGCATCTCAGACAAGGGTCTTATAACGAAAGTTTACAGAATACTCCTGGACATCCAGAAGAAAAAAAAAATCTAACAACCCAATTACAAAATGAGCAAAAGACATGGGGAAAAACTTCCCACAGAAGAAGACGTTCAGGTGGCCAACAGACACATAAAGAAATGCGTGGCCAACAGACACATAAAGAAATGCTCCAAATCACTGGCAATAAGAGAGACATAAGTCAAAATCACAATGAAATAACATTTCACCCTAGTAGCAGTGGCAAAGTTTAATAGGGCAGCAAACAATAAATGCTGAAGAGGATGTGAAAAGGTGGGATTGTAAAATGGTGCAACAACTCTGGAAAACAGTTTAACTTTCCCTAAAAAAAAAAGAAAAAACTGAACATAGAAATTCCATGTGACCTAGCTATTCCACTACTAGGAACACACCCCAAGGAAATTAGAACTGAGACTCAAAGGAAGATTTGTACATCAATGTTCACAGCAGCATTTTTCACCATCACAAGAATATGGAAACAGCCCAACTGTCCAAACATAACTGAATGGATTGAGAAATTGTGGTACATTCACACCGTGGAATACTATGGAGCACTCAGGAGCAACGATTTTGAAAAATACTACATAAATTGGTAAAGGTTGGAGAGCATTATGCTGAGTGAATTAATGCAGTCTCCTCTCGACACATACCGCATAAGATCATGATTGCAAAAATAGAAGGATAACTAGTAAAACACATATGGGAACTCAAGCCAGGAGGAGGGATTATGGGAAGGATGAAACCACAGGGCTGCACAGTTTGGTGAGTAGAGAAAGGTGTGGAAGGACACGGGAAGGGTACAGGCAAAAAGACAGGGTAATGATGGGTAAGGTCTAATGTGATTAATTTTCGAAACCACACTGCATGACAATGATTGTATGAAACACAATGTGAATGTAGTGTGAAACACAATGTGTACGAACTTTGTACACAACCAACATGGAAAAAAAAATAGAGATTTTTAATGAGACAGATTGACAAATGTCTACAAGGGCTCAGACAGACCAACAATCATGAGAATGATACCTGATTAGGCAATGTTTCGTTCTCTTAAATATGAGATCATCATAAATCAACGCTGACTAGTAAAAACTAACAAGAAAAACCATCATAGGATTTCCGAGCTGCTGTATTACTGCCCAGACTCTAAACATCTCAGTTACAGCCACTGATAAAGTTGTTGTTATGTACCTGAGACTCATAGCGACTCCTGTGTACAACAGCTCTGAATACTGCTCTCTCCTGAGCCAACCTTATTAACACAGCTATCTGACACAGCTACCCCCATGACCCCAGTCACTGAGTCAATTCATCTCATCTCGGGACTTTCTCTTTTGTGCTGTCCCTCCATTCTCTTAAGCAAAATGTTCCTCTCCAAGGACTGGTCTCTCCTTGCAACATGCCCAAAATATGTCAGACAGAGCCTCAGAATCCTTTCCACCAAGGAGCAGCCCGATTTCACCCTCTCCAGGACAAACCTCGCAACAGGCCAAAAGTATGTCAGGCGAAGCTTCAGAATCCTTGACTCCAAGGAGCATTCAGGCTTCACCCTCTCCAGGACAAACCTGTTTGTTCTCCAAGCAGTCCATGGTATATTCAACACTCTTCTCCAGCACCACAGCTCAAAGGCATCAATTCTCCCTCTATCATTCATAGTTATTGTTCAGCTTTCTGATGCATAGCATGTAATTGTGAAGATCATGGTATGGAAAGCCAAACTTTATATTATATGAAAAGCCTTGATCAGGAATTGAAGGAATTGCAGATTTATAAGTTAGGATTTCTCTTGTGGCAGATCCCAGAAAATAACCTGTTTGTTTCCTGCAGACAGGAGACAGCTAGGGCCCCCCTACTGAGTGTTACTTCCTGGAAAATACTTCCTGAGCTAGAGCGTTAGGCTGACAATAGAGAAAAATAGAGCCTTCATTTACAAGGAATTCCTTTTGTTATTTGCTGTCCCAGATTATCAATAGATACACAGAGAAACATGACTTGGGGTCTTCAGTGGAGAACTGCCGGCCCCCTGTTTTATGCTCTCTGCTCTATCTCATTCCTGGCTGTTTGTCTCATTATTAATAATTACAAAATTATTACGTTCTTTGGGGCCCTCGGTCTGCAACATCATGGCCTGGATCAGGTGTACCTTTTAGTCTCCAGATTGACATTGTTGCCCTTCAGTACTCTGCAGATGTCCCAGACAGCTGACTTTTCCAATGCAATGGGGTTTAAAAAAAATTTTGTCTGTTATTATCAAGAGTATTGATTGTGGAGCCAAGCAAACCAATTGTGGAGCCAAGCAAACCAAAGCTGTTAACAATCTCAGTCTCGTTATCTAGAAATACTTAAGTGACAATTAGATTGCATTTCAATTCTAGTACTTACTTTGCTACTTCATTTCTATTATTGTTTACTGTTTATTTTTTAAATTTTTTTTTTTTTGTGTGTGTGTGTGTGTGTACAACCAAATCAGGTCTGACTGGTACAGGAGGAGATTGTCTCTCCTTCTCCAGCAGACCATCTGGTGGATTCGAACTGTGCACCTCTGGGATGGCAGTGCAGCTTCCTGCCACTAGGCCACCAGAGCTCCCTTGCTTACTGTTTCTTTTTGAAGAAGCATCTAGGTCTATCAACATCGCTCCTCTGCCTGCAATGAGATTGTTCGCAGTTGAGATTCTGAAAGGAATGAGCTCATCTGTGACTAGAGAGGATGTGAAATATATGAATTAGACTTTGCCAGTGAAAAGGGAAAGCACATATTCATTCTGTAGGTAACACAGAGTCTAGGTACACGGGGGTCACTGCTCAGGACAATAAAGGGGCTGATTGTGGGGAAACATATCGCGAAAAAAGCAGATGTGCTTATGAACCACAAGGTAGAAATAAGAACACGAGCCATGTAAGCATAAATAATAGAAGAGACGGCATAAAATGATACGTAGGTGGCCACCAGGACAAGGATACTTTTGGTGGCTCTGGTCTCAGCTGAGGATCTGGGAGATATTTTATGGTTATAAATATGTTGCACTTGCTGTTTATGTTTGTACAGGATGTAAACCATGGAGCCACTGGCCCAGGACATGAATCCCAAGCACAAAACATCGTGGGAAGAGATCAAAGCCACATAGACTGAGAATGTGATATTGTCATTGTTCTTAGAACAGTATTTGGGCATGTTTTCCTTTGCAATGGTCTTGTTGATCCATTTTGTAGACGCATAAATAGGAAAAATGGCATTTACCATCATGTGTAGTATCCAGCAGACGATATTAGAAGGACCAATGTACTTGAAAACTTTTAGTTTAAGCCCTGCCCACCTGGAGTGAAGAGGGCTGATGGTGATGACCTGGAAGACACTCAAGAGACAGGTGGTAAAAACAGAGACACCCCTGCCCACCCTATCAAGAAATGAAAAGAATTGACAACCCAGGTAATTGATGTGACTTGTGAAATCAAAGGCAAGCATTATCACGGGGACTCCCCTGAAGAGAAGGCATATGGTGTTGGCTGCAGTCAGGTGTCTGAGAATCAAGTCTGTGGGCCTTGACCTGCATCCACTCAAATGAAGAGAGACGTAGTGCAATATGAGTGAGAAATTCCCAAGGATTCCAATGGTCGTCTGGAACAGAAGGATCATTGCTACGGTCAAAGCCATGGAGCAATTCTATCATTTTGCAGGAAGCATCCAATTCAATGCAGAATTAGAAGGTTCTGCATGGGAACGTGAATTCTGGGCTACAGTATGGAAAACAAAATGCAAAGAGTTTATCATGAATCTGAGAATTACTTTATAAATAAATACATATTCTCTCTCTCTCTCTCACCCCGCTTTGACAGAGGTTATATTTTATATTTTGGCATTCTCCCCCCTCCTTTTTACGTTGTGTTTCATACATTTCCACATTCACATCGTGTTTCATCAGGTCATTATTATACACCGTGTTTCATTAAATCAATCACCATTGGACTATGACCTCTTTTTATCTCCTCTTTTCAGTCCCCAGTGGACCATTCCTAACTCCTTCACCGCCTCCTTCTACCCACCAAACTCTGCGTCCTCTAAATTTTCAGTGCACTTTTTTCTTTGCTTACATTTTTGCCCCATGTTTTGAATGCATTATGTGTTCTCTCACTTAGCATGCGAGAGTCCACGATTATCACTAAATATTATTATCTACGGTCAGAGTAAGAGGATAAAGCTGCAAAAGGATTAAAGAGCTCAAATAAACAGACGTAGGGGGATGATCATAGCTAGGATAAGATGCTTGTAACAAAGTTTTTGCTTATTCCCACTTTGTCACAGCTCTTTTGTCATGTTTTCAAATAACCCGTTTCTGTTTACAACACACTTTAGGTTTCATTGTGCTAAGGTCTTATTTGCCCAAATACAACACAACCTCTCTTAGGAATAAATTTATATTCTCCATATA